ACTACTACCACGACAACAACCACTACCACCACGACCACGACTACTACGACGACCACTACCACAGTCGATTTGTGTGTGGGCGTGACATGCCAAGCAGGCGCCTGCCATGAGGCTGGTGTTTGCAATCCCTCCACCGGTCTGTGCTCCAAGCCCCCTAAGCCTGACGGTACTTCCTGCACCTCCAGCGGACCTTGCGATGTGGCCACATGCCAAGCTGGGCTTTGCACTGTGACATCTCAGGCAACGGATTGTTGTGGGAATGCCCTGTGTGAGGCAGGTGAAGACTGCAATTCCTGCAGCGTCGATTGTGAGAGCAAGACAGGCGGAGGACCTGCGTGTGGAAATGGTGTATGTGAAGTGGCTGATGGCGAGGACTGCCGCAACTGTCCAGCCGACTGTGCAGGGAAAACGAACGGAAAGAAGTCCAGAAGATATTGCTGCGGCAGAGATGCATCATGCTCCGATGCACGTTGCACATCCAACGGCTTTGCCTGCAGCGCAGTGCAGACCCCAATTGAGACGAGCTGCTGCGGGGACGGTACCTGCCATCCCCTTGAGGCAGGTACTTGTAGTATTGACTGCCCCTGAAAGAAGTCCAGGGGGTGAATTCATACCGGTGGGTCCGTGTGCAAACAGAACACTGGACCGGCCGCTTTTTCAATTTACAGTGCAGAATTCAAGTCGGCATTTGTGATCCGACGAAGTTAAGGCAGATTTGTACACAACGTTCAATTTGCCTAATGATACTCGGCTACATCGACTACACTTAGTTTGAGCTGAGGGATCCAAGCATCATGATATCTTGGAAGACATCGGCTGTTCCAAACGCTATGCAGTTGAACTGTCACTCGGTCATTCGGTCAACCGGTGTGTTGTCCGAGAACTGCAGTCGATCGTCATGAATTCTATTGGCGGGTGATGTCTATGGCCTGGCGACTCCAAAGAAGTTCAAAAAAGTTCAATGAAGAATATCTAATGAAGACTCTTGATTAATAAACCCCCCCAGTTGAATGCGCTATCCTCTTCATATGGGGGGGTATTAATCAAGAGTCTACATTAAGCTGAATTATCTTTTGGACAGCCAATCTCTGAAATATGAACATGGAGGAATCGAAGCGTGGTAGACCGCCGAGAGGTCGACTGCCGGTGGAGCTGGTCAGGAGCTGGTCATCGACAGCGACCGTCACGTGTTCCTGGACGTCTTTGCCGATTGGTGCGGCCCATGTGTGCAGGCGACGGGGGAGACCGAGCGCAAGGGGAAGTCGGTTTTCTGGACCTGGCTTGGCATATTCAGCTCCAAAATGTTGGATTCTGCCGAGGGTTTTAGAGGTCATTTTCCCATGCAGAGCGCATGGAACTCTAAAACCACTCACTGGGTTGGTATTCGGAAGATGGTGGAAACCACAGATCGGTCAATTCTCAGGATCGTGGGCGTTATTTGTTGTCCCAGACTGTCCAGAGGTTTGGGCCTTGGCGAAGTTGACATGAGAACACGATAGTATACCTGAACTCCGACCCGATTTAAAGTACCTGAAGTCGAACATGACCAGGAAAAGCAACAAACAGATCCGAGTAGGTCGACTCCAGGTTCTGTATATACTTTCATATGACTCCAGGTACATATATCATGCATGACAAATACCTGGTTCTAAAAGTTTTGTTTTTTCCCCCGAATCTTCAAACCGGGTGAATCTGTTTGTATTTTCTCCCTGGATCGGTGCGGTTCCCGAAGCGAAGGAGGTTGCGCCTTGTTCAGAACGCGCCGTGTTAAGGGATACTCTTCGCCGTAAAGGGAAGCTGAGCATGTTGTTGAATCTTCCATATAGTAGTGAAACTGCAGGATTTGTATTCTCAAGTGCTATGCTAGTCAATACTTGTAGGAGCAGCAACCCATCCGCTGGTTCCATGTTCATTGAAAACTGCTGGGGAAGGACACATGAGCATACATTAGCTATACATGTGTTCAGGCTGGTTGAAATGTGTTTTTTGCCTTCCACGTTCGCGTGATTCTTCGTTTGATGGCCAGAATTGCGCACCTTCCATGTTACTTACGCTAACTTGGCAGGTAGAACATACAGTAGTGTTTTCAGGCTATATATGTCAATACACACTTTTGAGTTCTCAGGTTCTAAGTCAAAACAGGGACATGTTGTCAGGTAAAGAACGCTTCGGCCGGTACGACCATGGAGTCTGAACCATGAGGGGTTTGTTTACGGGACGCCCCTCGTCCCCAAAACACACTATATAGACACACATCGTTCGATCATATAGTAAAACTACATTTACATCACAACTTGAACAATACTCTACTCTCATCTACTGCGATATCATAATATCATTTATACATGCATTGTTCACTTTCGATATTCTTGCCTTCTGTACATGCATCTATTTAATTTTGTTATAATGGACCCTGAAAAGATAGCTTGCTCTCCGTCTCGCTGGAAAAGATGTCGTAGAAAGATGCAGCAAGTTCACGATAGACAACATGACGCCAACATGACGCAGAAGTGACAACAAAAACAACGCAGAAGTAACAACAATCGACACAATTGCTTGTTGTGTTGGCTTTTTGAGCTTCGCCTGGAAATTGAGCTTCCACCAGAAAAAGATACCTCTTTTGCGGGGTCTACGTATATATCTTTTCCCTGGATATGGTGATTCAGATTCGAGGGGGAGAGCAGGTATAATCTAGTCTAGTGGCTATGACTTGAGTTCAATCCCCGGAAGCAACACTAGACGGACAGCCGGGCCACTACCCCACCCCTGCAGTTTTTAGGGGATGAGCTAGGGTGTGGACTGTTAAAGCACAACACAACGATAGAAACAACAATACTCAGATACTCCATGTATGCCATATTTACCTACATTGGGGTGGTTTGAGGGGTCAATGTAGGCATATATGGCATACACGGAGTGTCTGGGATTATTCGTTTTTCAATCCGTTAGTTTGGGCTACCCAGCCAGGACCCGGGGCCCGCCAGGTCCTGTAAGGATCAACGAACACCAAGCAGTGCTATATACAGGCGATATCAGGATCAAAAATCAGGTGCTCCAAAATCAGTGCTCGCAAGAAGATCACTTTTCAAACACCGCCAGACAGCCAACCAACACCGTTCAGAGGAGTCACATGTTCAATTCTTTGAGGGAGGCATGCCATCATCAGAGATCTTGGAGGAAGGATTTGTGCAATACAACAAGAAGCAATATCCCTTTATATCGTAGAAGGAGATGGGCTAACAAACATGAAGGAAACGCATACTACATACTCAATACAAGCAGTAAAGCTTTGTTATTGAGTTGGTTTAAACACATTAAAGAGAGTATTAAAGAGTTGCTGTTGCAACACCATATTTTTTCGTTCAATGTATGAACCATATAGTATCAATGATCCCAACTGTCAAACTCATTGAAGCACAGGAAATTCCTTTATGTGGCTTGATCCCCATGATTCCTCATGTAATTAAAGGCTTTAGTTCTATCCGCAGGTAAAAACTTTAGTTCTATCAACAACATGCAATTTCTTTCAATATCCACGAGATGAGCTGATGAGCTCATAATAAGATTAGGATGTAAAAACATGGGATGCCCAAAGTCCCCTTCCCTCTTTGTTTACAGGGTCCATGTGCATGCTGAGGGGTGTATGTATTGTGGACAATTATATAGGAGCATAGGCTTATGCGTTGCATCTCTTTACAGGAGACTGAGCGTTAGACTGTTTGCAGTGAATGCATTGCGACACATAGTTTTCGCATGTGTTTGCAAACTGAGGATTGAAAGATCATTAAGATCATTGCTCTCCAAATTATCTCTTCTACGCTGGCTCCACTAGATAACGAGCGAAACTGCAAATTCCAGCTTCACCACTTGAGTGAGCTGAGTCATTGAACTACAGTCAATATATACAGATATATATATATTATAATATATTGAGCTTTTACTTTGTGAAGTTGAGGATATCAAGTGCTGTTTCTTTGGGCAACAAAAAGCACTGATGAGCTCAGTTGTTCGCCGACACACGCACCAGGCCAAGCCACATTTCTACAAGCTGGTTGGAGTCTCAGCGATCTCTTCCGGTTTCGATCCAAAACTACCTGGATATCCCTACACCCAGTACACCCAGTACCCCAATTGACCCAGTACCCACTACTCTGGATAGAAACGGACATAACCCGAACAAAAAACAGGTCCGGCGGCTGTGCCCATTTCCTGAGGTACAAACAGGTCGACTCCAAGTACCTGGAAAAGCCACAAAAGAAGCAAAAACATGCCTCTGACCATCAAGGATTTGATTCATATCATGATTCATCCTCCCTGCTACTTCAGTAGCGCTGCTGGGTTCCAGCTGTGACAGTCATTGTGTTGTCTCCATTGCAACGGGGAAGCCACGAACTGGCAGGCCATTCTGAAAACATTCCTGGGTGGGTTCCTGGCTGACCTCCGTTTCGCTAAGGTGTTGTAGGTGCCAGGGGGGTCGCACTACCCTCTGTTGGGATGGGGTTGAAGCCCTCGGGACTTGAAAACCTTTTCCGATGAAGGAAGGAGAACATCCAAAGGGTCTCCCCATGACGGCCTGGAATGCCCTGTTTCTTCAAAATCCCCTCTGTAGATCCCCAAAGCTTCGGAGATCCAGCTTCGGAGCGGCAATGTTAGCGTCCACGCCCACGGCCAGTGTGAACGAAAGACTTGCATACCGCTCGTCCGTAGACGATTGATTCAAAAAACCCGGCCACCAGGAGTCACAAAGGGGTGGTTTTTAGTCTCTAAGTGAGTGGATCATGGGAACCCCTATCCTCCAATTGGCACCCCTTTGTGACTCCTGGCACATAGGGTTTTGTGAATCAACATTCCCAGATCAGGCATGTATGTACATTTACCCATTGAATGACCCATCCATGGCGCAACTCCTCCAGTCCGGATGGGACTCAGGCATCACTGCTGCGTGCATGTGACGACATTGGCATTTGTAGCGCGGATGCTCAGAGAAAGAACCTGTCGAGTCAAACACGTAAAGTACCGAAAATGGATTGAACATGGGACATTACTCTATTAAAACAAGTGCATGGATTTTTTTGTACCCGTTTGTCGCTAATCTACCAGTCCGAGGTTACAAGTAGATTCTCCATTACTAGCAGCATTCTTTCTTTCATCTGACCAAATTTGTGTTGGACACTGACCGACGTAGAAAGCATGAGCATCATGAGCCAGGTGTCATGTTCTGCCTATATTTGTGTACACTTGAAACACAACCACGTCATCAAGTTCTGGAAACAGCTCCAACGGATGCACAACCCCAATCGTTTTAGACCCAAAACACCGTTCTCAAAACACACGGAAAACGGACCACGTTGGGTGGAGCGCCCGAGGCTATGATGCGGATGCCAATGAGAAGCCCGCGAAATACATTCCGGAGTCTCACATCCCAGCGCGGAACACCCAGCGATGTTGGACGATCGGATCGGTGGGCCCCGGCGCAGAGCTTGTTGACTGGTAAGCTGAGACGGTGTTTTCCTTTGCGGTGACAAACACATGAAACATGAAAAAGCAAAAGCAAACCCATGAAAATCATGGTGTTCCGTGTGTGTTTCCTTTTGTTTTAACCATGAAACAATCCTTATCTCGAAAACCGGTGCTGCAGGTTCGTGTACGGGCCAGAAAGTGACATCATGTGGCATGTGCCGTCATGTGCCTCTGTGGGTGGGGGGCAAATGGCCACAGAATACCAAATCTCATCTCTTGGGTGATGAATATCTTAATTCAAAGTTACTAAAATTGCACTATCCCTGTACTATATTATATGTATAAATATGGGCACTTTTGTCAATCTCATATGTTGGCGGCCCCTTTGCTCGGGCGATTGGCCACCATTTGGAGCCGACTGGAGCGCAAATCAGCGCTAGACTCGGGAGCCGAGTCTCCAAGTCTGAGTTGCTTTTCAAGGCAGCTGGGGTGGCCACTGAATTCAGTTGATTGGGAATCCTTCGTCCATTGGGAGGTCCTTCGTCACACGAAAGGTTACGAAGGTCCTGGAACTTCTTTTCACAAGCAACCGGGCCAGTCAACGGGCCATGGTGTTCTCACAGGTCGATCATACCCAGACCATACGATGTTCTTGAAGGAATCATGGGTTTCTACCGTGGATTGGAAAATGGGACCCCGAACAACATTGAACAACAACAACAATAGCAACAACAACAAAAAGCGTGCCAAAGACCAAACAGGTGGTGAACTCCACTTCCAGGATGATTTCAGGGAGTGGATTGGCAAAGATGACCTACATACATTCATTGCCCAAAACCACCAACGTTAACTGTAGGCAATACTTGCGTCAAATGGATCGTTTGGGATACTGTATATGGTACAGATCGTTTTTGGGGGTTCCACCCAAGCTGGCTTACATGTTCAATGGACTCAAGCTGACATTTGGATTCGCCATGATGAACAAGGTTTTGCGGGTCCCCTGATGCTTCATCAATCCGTCTCTCGGCAGGTCTTTAAGCTCTTCGTGCGGGGCGACAAGCAGAATCCCATCAGTTTCAAGGGCGAGCGCACCCTGCGAGGCCAGAAGACCGGTGCGTCCGGGCCTCGCCGGATTCGTGGGGATTGGGGGGAGACCCTTCCCACTCAGTTCCCAGCGCGTGTGGGACTCAGTCCCACTAAAGCAGAAAAAACCTCATTGACCTTAAGTATACCTTCGCTTCCCCACCAGAGAGTTGGAAGTGACTACTGTAGACTCTTGATGAACCCCCCTTGAATGGTAAATCTGGCGCATAAAGGGTGAATATTAATAATCAAGAGACTACATTAGGGCCACAGAGTAATGGACCAGGTTAGTGGACCAGTTCACAGTTCACCTGCATATTATAAGCATCGGAACGGCGAGGCGAGGGATGTTGAGGGATGTTTCGGAGACCCTTTCTGAAAGAACATCCTGGAGAGGTGAGCTAGCGGCTAGCGGTTTGTTAGATGGTTTTTGCCCACACATACCTTTTTTGCAAACACATGCAGTGCTTTACATAAAAATACCGCATGCATCCACATGCACGATTCAAGAAACTACAGTTGGAACATGTTGCAACCTTGAACCCCCCCAGTTCAAGGCGTTCAGGCTGGACTTGGGCCATACCCCAGCACATCCGAGCACAAACAAGGTCGGGACACGTGCAGGAGATCGCAGGGACACGTGCATGTCGGGATCTGCAGCTTTTTGGGGCTGAGCAGTCTATGTCACACCGGAGTCATCCTCCGGGTGACTGAAGGAGTTTCAGTCACGCCTCAATTCATTTGCAGCAAGCATGGCCTCGATGGTGGTTTCAATTGTTTTAAGTGTTATATGTGTTAAACCTTTACTTGGGATATCTTGGGATGATTGAATCCGCTGACTAATATTGTTCGAGCGAGTTGAAACCACTGTTGGTTCCTCCATTTGTGGTTTGCAAGGTGACCACAGAGAGAGATGTTGGATTCCGAAGCTACCCTCGCTATACCCCCACCATTCAGGTGCTCACACGAGTGTCCCTCTATGGAAACTTTGTTGTGTGAGCCGGTCGCCTTTTTTGTTGCGCTGTAAATACAGGCTTCCTCTCCTTCCTCAAGCAGCACACGAAGTTGGATATCCAGGCGGTTCTGCGTTCAGATGGATCGATGGTCCAACAGTCGTTGGTGGATCAATCGTCCGGGCCGAACCGCCCCGGTCTTCGCTGACATGTTTCATGACCTGGCGCCAGCGGATTGTGCAGATGGCTAAGCTGGTCATGCCCAGTGATTCTGAGAGAAGCTGGCGTGGCATGTGAGAAGCGGGTGTTGCATGGTTTTTTGATTGGAGAACATGTCGTGCAGATTATGTTCTGTGCACAGAACATGTGGACGCACAAAGTTCATCAGATGTCCACACATGTTTTTGGTGGTGTAGGAATTTGATTTATCAACACCTGTCAACATAGGAGTCTCCAACCCAATAGCTTTTAGCTACATGTTCTTTTCTTTGTCCTTGCGGGGCATTTGCAAGGCATCCTCCTTTGTGAGACACCCGTTTGGGAAGCGAACCAGATTCCACTTGGTTGGTACAGTTATACCTCAGACCTTAGGATTCTACTTTCAAAAGCATCAGTGCTTTGGTCTTCAGCCGGTCCTCCACTCAACACTGGAACCATTGTCCACATGAAAAACAGGAAGTCAGGTGAGAATCGAAACCTTCTGAAACAGCTCCTAGAGACGGTCCCACTCACCATCTGAGAGGTGTCATTCCCAGTGATTTGACGTTCGTCTTATGATATGTGTCAAGTCTTGAGAAGGTAAAGCAACCCTCGTTTTCTGGGGAAACGAACCATGCATGATATGCTGCAGCGGAAAGTTCTGCTGTGGTAGCGAAGCTGCGTGCGTTTTCGGCGGCGCCAGGATGCCTTGCGTCTTCTTTACGCTGACTACTGCTCCCAGAACAACGTCGAGGAGCTCTACAGGCAGGGTCGGGCGCCAATGTGAGGCAGCTGAGAAGGCGGCAGCATCACATTTTTCCGAAAAAAGTCGAGTCTTGTAGAAGCGGCGGGCATTTCGTGAGTTGAGTTTGCAAGAGATTATCGTTTTTGAGGGTCTTTGGCAGCTGAAAGAGGTCGGGCTCGTTTTCACTCTTAACTCAGTGCGTGACCTTCAAAGAGCATCATACAGTCTCATAGTTCGATGGGGGTTGGCTTGTTGGCCCTAAAGATCGAGTTCGAGGTACTCATTTGGGTTGGAAGGCGGGGGCGTTTCGGCGTCAAACTGGGCACCAGGCAGTTCTTGTCCTCATTGGCAGCACAAATGGAGAAGAATCAGGAGCAGCTTCCGTCCCATCTCTTACGTTTCTCGGCCAAACAAGTCCCGGCCGCCTGTGAAGGAGCCGCCTGTGAACTCGCGGCTTTGGGTCGGGTCGGGAACGCGTCATCGTTTGGGAAGGAGAAGAACTCGGTCTGTCCTAGGACATCTGTCGTACCCGCAACAGTATCAATTAGGTCTGTCTTATAGTTGGTAAACAGTTACTGTATCACATTGTATTCACTGGGCCTTGAGATGTCGGCCTGCAACTGGACCATCATCCACTGGGCCTTGGGATGTTACCTGATAAATGTGTGGATCATTTGGAGTTTTCTGTTCGTAAGTACTGTAGGATCTATATAGATGTGTCGTTCGGTGGCACTGAAAGATCTTAAAGAATGCCTTGAGGTGCCTTGAGTATATATAGTTAAACATGCAGATAGTCAATAGATCTCAAGGGGTCGAGTAGCAAAATAGCAGCTGTCCGAAACTTCCGATCGAAATCTTCCTTCTCAGGTGGTGTTTCTTCATCGTTTGTGACGTGCAGTCTCGGGCAACCATTTGGTTGGAAAGAAGGTGATTATGACGGTGACAAAACACCATGAGGTTTTCTGGAATGAAAAGGAACTCTTTGTAAAAAGAACTCTTGTGAAGCAACTCTTTGCTTTTCGACGACAGCTTCTTCCGGCCTTGCCGTGAGTCTTCCTTTGAGGCGCCGGTGCGCTCGGAGCCGCAGTTTCGTGTTTGTGATGAGCACTCTCACACCCTGTTTGTGACGCGTCCACGAAGTGAATCCCGGTTCCGCAACTGGTTGAATGACCAATGAGACGAAAGCACGATTTGAGCTCCGCTAGCCACTTTCTGGCAAGGGTAAGAACATAGACAGACAAGTTATAATATGACATTGGCTTATTTGAGTGATAGGTTTATTCAACTCATGTCTTTGGATTATTTGTCAGTTATTTTAGGAGTAATAACATAGAAAGAGGATAGAAAGGTTTAGCGCAGATAAGAGAACTGACCAAAAGACAAAAGGAAAAGATATGCCATTTGAATTTCACAAAACTCCACAATTCATCGAATCCACCCTGAGACTTAGGGCTCTCCAATGGAGGTCGGTTTGCGAACCGGGTCCCGACTCCTACGTTTCGGTGGTCCTACCTCAGCCAAGAGGTCGGGTTTCATGGATTCTGACCGAAACACTCCATGCAACTGGAATATTTACATGCATTGGGTGCTTGACCTGGGGTGAACGTAGGTAAATATGGCAGCTCCCATAAATTGTTTGGGTTACGTACGCTATAGCTTGACGAAAACCCTTCGCAAGATCCGCACCGATCCAGTGGTCTTCGATCCTGTGACACCTGTGAAACCAGCCACGCTATAGCGGTGTGGGTCGAAGTGGACGTTCTCCCGACCCTGGAGGAAATGAAGTGGACTCCACCCTGCCATCCATGGTCTTCTTGGACTTCTTTCGAGACATAGGTTTTTTTGATTCATGACCATTTGTTGAATCTGACTGAACGAGAAGGGCGCCCTGACAGCTTCATCTCAGGTTGGGCCGAGCAATATTTCATGGATCCGGAGCGCTTTTACCCCACCAAGGATGATCCGGGCTGGGAGCGCAGCGGGAGTTGGCAAAGACAAAGATGCTACCGGAAACTACTAATCATTTCCAATCATTTACAGTTGATTTTGACACAATTGAGATATACATGCTGTTTTCATCCTGAATTCCATTCCAATTCCGCTCGCGAGCGATCGGAATTGGATCGAGGATGTTCGGTCACACTGATGTTTTTCCTTAGGACTCGGATGACGCCTTGCAGCTGGCCATGAGGGATGTGCCCTCCAGCTTGCTGCCTGAAGCTTTGCGACCACTGCAAGCAGGGACTAAGGTGGGGATGCGAATGCCATCGGTCGATGATGGAATTTCTATTGAAGTCAGGTGGAAAAAGGACCCAAATTCGGCGAGGTCGACCTGAACGACGCTTTTGATTTGACAGACATTCTAAGAAAAGAAGATGTCATATGGTGATTGGTGTATTATGGTGTTGTACTCTATTATGTGTTTGAGACATAGCCAATGTCATGATGCTTTTTTGTGCATCAAAGTGAAGATGAACAAGATGAATTTATATTTGTTTATACTCTCCCGAGATAGTACTTTTCCCTCCGTCGGTGCATGCCCTATGGAGGGAGAATTGTGTTGCCGCTGTCACCACATAAGTTCAACGCACTTTCAGGATGAAACTCAACTTTCGGAGAAAAACACAGAAAGCCATTTCTGTCTGAGGGAGATCCCAACCCAGACACGACCGATGGGATTGGCATGTTTACCCCAAGTCAACCTCCAGAAATCGCCCCTGTATGTATTCCAGTCTGCATGTTGCATGGAGTGTTTGGACCGGTTCCTTCGAGCCGAGCCGATCCTCGGTCCAGGTTCGAGTGACCCGGGACCAGACGACCTTGGAGAGGAGCGGTTGGACCAGACGACGCACCCGAAGCATCCGAACGACCGGGTGGGACGAATGGTGAAGGTCCACTGTGTTTTGCCGGTGATTGGACACGGTACATGCCGTCCCCGTTCCGCTCGTGATTTGGCTTATATTGTGATTTCGTTGAGCTTGGTCGTCATCCACGGAAGCCCAAAAGGGGCACACTTCGTTAACGACCTTCCACCGGATGGTGGCTCAAGCCTGAGGTGACGAAAACCGATCGTTCGCTGCCATGGTAGCACTTGCTTAGGCCCCTACCACCCTGTGTCTCACAGGGTGGTAGCGGAGCCGGTTCAACTGGCCTTTGGGTTTGTAGTCGTTGGTTGACTGACCTTGCTAGTGCTGGCTTCCTTCGGGGTAGTATGTCTACTGCAGCTGATGTTGATGGATCACCTCCTGTTCATTCCACACCACCACGGACTGAGCAGGGTTCCCCTCTACCTTCTCCGGATGGCCGGCGACCCGGCCCTAGCTCCAGAGAGGGAGATGGTGAGTCTTCACATGAGGATGCTTGGCGGCGTCCTGCGGGGAATGACTCATCCGAATTCAGGCAGTTTTTGAATTTTGTTGAGGCCAGAGCCAGAGAGAATGGAGGAAACCCTTTTTCGTCGCCCCCACCTCGACGAGACTTCGAGCCGCGTCGTCGTGAACGTGGACACGAGTCAGGTGAGGACGATGATTCTCATGAGCGGTCAAATGCAGGACCACCCCCGACTTTCGATGGCCAAGGTGGTTTCAAGGACTTCAAGATCCGTGCAAAGCTTTGGTTAGCTACGACTAAGGCTAAACCCAGGACTCGAGGACCTTTGCTACTGAAGGGCCTGACCGGCAATGCCTTCGAGAACTTTAAGCACCTGGCCAACGATGATTCTTGGCTGGCGGATCCTGGCAACGGGATCAAACTCATTGACATGATGGGAACTCGTGAATTCTATGGGGATGACTCTCGTGAGGACATGCTTCACTGTTTGGGGAAGTTGACCTATCAACTCAAACGTGTTCGTGGAGAATCCCATCGGGAATTTAGTGCAAAATGGGAAAACGCTGTTCGGAAGGTGAAGGAACATGGTGTTGTTTTGCCCCCTGAATACCTGGGTTTCCTTTACATCATGGCATTGCAGCTCACCACCGAAGAAGTGAAGTTGTTGATGAACTATTGCAAGGGCAGCCTGTTGGTCGCCGATGTCAAGGAATGGATGCGAGTTCATGAAACGGAACTAGACTTCAAGATGGGACAGAAGGACGTTGCAAAGAATAACGACAAAAAGTCGATTTACTATGCAGAGACTCCTGATGAGCCCGAGACCGAGGAGGCTGGCTCCATCGATTACCAGGACTCTGACTATGAGGTCTTGATGGCGGCAGCGGAAGACATTGGCCTTGAGCCAGAGCATGAGATCTTCGAGGAATCCGAGGCCAAAGAAATCCTGGCTACAATGGTTCGTGACGCTTCAAAGGGTGGTAACAAGGGCTATGGCAAGGGCTTTGGCAAGCGGACCTTCGCCAACGTGACCCGCATGAAAAAGACAAAGGAATTGTCCCGAGAATACGGGAGCGGAAGAACCGGTATTGCACCGGGAACATACAAAGTCAGCATTGAAGAACTCAAGAGCCGTACCAGATGCGGCCATTGCAAGGCCATCGGTCACTGGCACCGTGAGTGCCCTCTGAAGAAGTCGGGCAGCTCCAGCAAAGAGGTACAGCTCCTCGAGACCGATGAAGCCATGTTCGTGCACTTCCTTGAGTTCCAGGATTACAAGGCCAACCACGGTCATGAAGCGGTAGCTGAAGTGCACCACTTGCAGTCCTCCGAGGACTGGAATCCATTAGATGTAGCTGTTCAGCAGTGGCGGTCTGAGCGACAAGTTCCGACCGGACCTCAGGTTTTTGACAACTCCGCGGCGTCCCAGTCCGCGTACAAGGAGCGACACCAGGTGTTTTTGACGGAGACCATGAAACATTTACAAAGATTTGATGTTGATGAACGATCATGTGCAACTGTTGACACAGGGTGCCAACGTTCAGCCATCGGACTGGAAACACTTCGTCGTCTTTCTGAAGCCTTGCCTAAGGATCTAGACATCATGCTGGTTCCGGAGACACATCGTTTTTGTAGTGTGCATGGGGTGTCATCAACCACAAAAAGTGGCATGTATTCCAAATAGTCTGGGCCCAGAGGGATGTATTCTTCGTCCTGCTGTTTTTGAAGATCCTCACGGCAGTCACGCACCCTTTCTCTTGTCTTTGCCGTTCTTGCTGGAGTGTCGTGCAGTATTAGAACTAGATCCTACTTCTGGACTTCAATTGTATTTGAGGAAATATGACAAAACAATTCCCTTACACTTGGGTCCAACTGGAGCTCTTCGTGTTCATTTGCATGATTTTTCTGAAAGGATGAAACACAATTTGAAGCTCGGTGCACAACGACTTCGAGAACAGTGTACCGAGCATGAGATCTTCAGCACCTGGGCTCGAACAAGCTCTCGCGATTCGACTGTGGAAAAGCCCCAAGCCGATGCAGGCATCTCACAAGCGCTCCCGTGCAATGGACTGCGAGGAACCCTCCACGGTGACGATGCAGCGCTGGCGGCGCCTGATGCTCCGTGTGCTGATGTTGGTCAACCAAGCCATGCAGCACCTGGTCTCAGGCCGGCTCAATATGACCGGCTTCAAGGGCTATCGTCTGCAGCAGATGGCTCGCGACCTTCCACTCCTCGAGACATCCGAACTCGAGGATCTGATGCAGCTATGTCAGGAACAAATTCAAAGTCGGCAGATGGACGAGCTCGACGGCTTCTCCATCATCTCCGGGCAGACCCTGCGGAGCAATGCCAGCTCAGAGACGCCGACTCACAGCCCCGGGAAGTCCAAGCCTCCAACACGGACGCCAGCCTCACCTCCAAAGCCGTGCTCAGCTCAGACGGAGATCTTCGAGAATCCTCCATACTGTCAATGTCGACTGGCGGCAGTACGACTGACCACCTACAAGGGCGGTCGCAACTATCTACGCCATTTCTGGCGATGCCCCAAGTGGCAGAACCCCATGACGAGGTGCACCTTCTTCCAATGGACTCAGAACCAACCACAGTGGAAAAATCCGGATTGCCCCAGCGACGAGGCCGAGATGATCGGGTACCACCAATGCCCACATCACCGGACCACTCAATCCGGCTCAAACGGCTGGATCACCCAGACCAAGTGCTTGGACTGCGGCAAACTCCTGGAGAAGGTCTCCAAGACGGGTCCCAAGGCGACATCGTCCAGGGAGCCAATTCCTTCGGAGAGCGAGCAGGAACTGTGGGAGCAGTTCCAGGCTTTCCAAAGGCTCCGTCGCGGCAGCCAGGGCTCCAAGTGAATGATGAGCCAAGTGAGAGAAGGGAATCTGCTAGTCTTCCAACCGTTGAGACTACTATAAATCCGACTCATGGTCATCGGATTGATGCTAGCTTGAGTGCTGCAACCACTGTTTGGCAATATATGCTGGAATACCTGGTTGATGACCCTACGAAACATGTGGAAACAGAATCTCTTTTACATCAGGTAGCTCGTGACATTGGACAGCCAAGCAAGAAGCAGCTAAAGACCTTCTCACAGCTTTTTCACATTGAACCATCCAATTTGCGACTGGTGACCGAAGTCTTCAACCCAAACCGTTTTGGACCTCGGACAAAAAGACATGGTTTGAATCAAGGGCAAGTTTTTGACATTTCACTTGGAGATAACCTCCTAGACCCACGAGCTCAGCATTCTGTTTTGTCTCACATTCGATACGAACGACCCGGATTGACAGTGATCTCGCCACCATGTGGACCGTTCAGTGCTTTGCAGAATCTTTCAAAGTCACTTCGTGATAGAGACTGGAATGCTGCGCGTCGATACATGAGCAAGCTGAAAGAAGCCAGAAAACTTCTATGATGGGCTTGCGCTTCATCACGTCCGGCCATGCCGTGAAGAAACCAACGAGCTTCCTGGGGAACAACCCGACCGTCCTCAAGGCTCTAGAAGTGAAATGTGATGGATCGCACATCCATGAAGAAGTACTTGGTAGTGATTCTCGAGGACCTCGATCTCGACAAGCTCAAGAATACCCACAGGGCCTGGTCGACCGAGTGCTTCGAGCCTATGCGGCTTCCTGCCACTTGGCTATGCACGACATTCACTTCCAAGTTGCTGCTGATGTCATCCAAGAGGATGATCGCATAAGCCAAAACTACTTCACTGAGGAGGAGCGGTACCAGATCCTTGCCGCTGATGAACCACCGGCTATGAGAGATCTACATGACCTACCAGTAGCTCCTGCTCTTGGAGTAAGGGCCAACGAATTCACCCAACTGTGTCAGGACCACCTTCCAGCAGGACAGTGGCAGTTCTGGACTAGGACCGATCTACAGTCCTCCAAGCTCCAGCTACCAGGTGGTGACGGTCCAGCGACCCCGGTGATCGAACGGCGATTCACTTTCGACCTTTCAACCAAACAGCTGATCAAGATGGACGTGATGACTGAACTGGACCCTGAGAACCTGGAATTGGAACTTGAGGACACTAAGGACATTGTCACTGTTTTTGCTTGGCAGAAGTCTCGAGAGCTTCCTGGAGCTCGCGTCGTGACTTTGGAGCGCCTTGTCCGAAGGGCCCACGAAGGACTAGGACATCCGGAAACGAATCGTTTCGTTCGCATTCTGAAAGCAAGTGGAGCAAAACCAGAGGTTTTGGAATGTGCCAAGAGATTGAAGTGTTCTGTTTGCCACCAGTTTCAAACTCCAGCAACCAAACGGAACAGCGCGCCTCCTCGGGAAAACCTTCACTTTAATCAACTGATTGGAGTTGACACCATTCATCTTCGCGATCACCATCATAGAACAGTTCCAGCGCTGAACATGATCGACTATGCCTCGCACTTTCAACTTGTGGTCCCCATGGGACCCAGCACTGCGAAAGCCGCTCGCACAGCATACCGTCAGTGGGTCAAGCTGTTTGGTGTACCAACTCGTGTATATGGTGACCTAGGTGGAGAATTCAAATCAGTGTTTGTGCAAATGTTGGAAGAAGATGGATCAGAATTTGTTCCATCATCCCTAGAAAGTCCGCAACAACGTGGCTTGGTAGAACGGGCTGGACAAACTTACAAGAACATTTTGTACAAAACGATGAACACCGTTTCCTGCGAAACGGATGAAGCTTGGAAAGACGCCGTGGACACCACTTGTATGGTACGCAATAGACTCTTGCTTCGTGGGGGCTACTCTCCCATTCAGCGTGTTTTGGGGTATACACCACGGTTACCCGGAGAACTCATGGCTGGACGGGAACCAAACCTTCAGAATCTGGAGTTACAGAAGCCCAGTGATTTGGCCGTCGTCAGAAGCATGGAGCTACGAAAGGCTGCATCTAAAGCATTTTTCGACTCGGACTGCCAGCAGTCGCTCCAGAGAGCAATCTATGCAGGGCCTCGACCGTGGCGACACTACGAGCCCGGACAGGTGGTGTACTTTTTCCGTAGAGGAGCTGACACCCAGAAGAAACCACTAGAATTCTACTGGAGAGGCCCAGCTCGAGTTCTTTTGGTTGATATGCCTAACACAATTAGGCTGTCGTTCCGGAACAACATTGTTAAAGCATCACCAGAGCGCATTCGGCCAGCTAGTGAAGAAGAGACTCAGACATTGTCTCAATGGCTCGAGGGTCTGACCACTCTACGAGAACAACTTCGACAGCCACAGAACAAGGGGATCATAGACTTACAGACCGAACCACCACCGACCACAGCTGAACTCGGTGAAGATCCGGAGATAGAAATTCCACCTACAATAGAACCACCGGAAGAGGAACCTCGTCCTCCACCAGAATTTCCTTTCCCTCCAGGACTTTTTCCGGAACCAGCTAGGAGGGTGAAACAAAAGACTTCTGACTATGTCCCTCGTGAACCCGTTCAACCAGTTCCTGAACCTGACGTTCTCCCGGACCTTGAGCCAACTCCGAACCCCGTTGAGATCGGGTCGGAACCGGTTCCAGCAGTGCCAATTGCGGAGCCGATGGAGATTTCGGATGAACATGAAGACGTGAGACATGACAAACGACCGGCGGATGATTTTGTTTCTGATGACCTGGAGGATTCACAACCTCCGGACAAGCGACAACGAACGGAATTTTTGGAACTGTTTCATCTTGCTGTTTCTGGCCTTATGAAGAAAAGAAAGGAATTTGTTGCCAAGGATTTCAAGGGTGCTGATTTTCCCCGTCTACAGAAGTCCATCTCGAAGGAAATCAACCAGAACTTAGCATCAGGAGCATACCGACTCCTGGACGTGGAAACTTCACAAAACATTGCAGCAGAAAAACCCGAGAAGATTATGGGCAGCCGCTATGTTTTATCCAAGAAGCCTCTTGAAGAGGGTGACATTCCGCAAGCCCGAGTGGAAGACATCCTTTTAGATGACAAAGAACATGGTCCAGTCAAAGCAAAGTGCAGACACGTCATGCAAGGTTTCTCAGAACCCTCGGCACTGGACGTGGAGACCACCACACCACAGGTGACAAGAGACTCAGTGATTCTGATCGCCCAAATTTTGAGCAGCTTGAGTTGGAATCCCGGGTTCATCGATTTTACCCAGGCATTTCACTCCGGAGACAGGATCAATCGTGAGTTGTATGCCCGGCAGCCTAAAGAAGGCATACCAGGTGCAGATCCCCGGCAGTTGATCCAACTCTTGAAGCATTGCTATGGGCTCACTGATGGGCCTCACAAGTGGTTTGAACATCTGTGTCGATATTTGAAGAAATTGGGGTACCAACAATCAAAACTGGACCCATGTGTGTTTTATCTGTTTGAAGCTGACACTTCAACGTCGACCGCCGGTTCAAAACCATCTTCGGGAAAGCTTTGTGGTATTTTGGGCATTGCTACAGATGATGTTTTTCATGGGGGAACAGACAAACACTGGGACAACATCAACAAGATTGCAACTGCATACAAGTTGGGAAAGAACCAGACCACTTCGGGCCGCTTCACGGGAAAGGAGATTCAAGCTAGACCCGACGGAACCATTTCCATCACCCAAACACATTATGTGGATGACAAGGTGAAGTGCATCCCCATCGACCGGAAACGGAAAATGCAGCGCTTTGACCGTTGCACGGCCCAGGAGATTGCTCAACTTCGTGAGCTCCTGGGTGTCTTGGCCTGGTTGAGTAAGGAGACCCGAGGTGACCTAGCTGGAAGAGTCTCACTGTTGCAACAATCGTTTCCAACACCAAGAGTGAAAGATCTTGAACAAGCAAACAAGCTAGCGCAAGAGGCAATCGCTCACAAACAGTTGGGAATTTTGGTTCAACCTATTCCACTTCACTCTTTGAGAATTGGAGTGGTGACAGACGCCTCCTGGGGCAACGCCAGGGAGTCCAGCCTGGGGCTCGAGGATTCGCTCAGGGAAGATTTTTGGGAAGAGTGTGAAGATACTTGGGTGAGGCACCACAGAGTTCCGAGGAAAACATATTTTCACCCTGATTTTTGCACTGATGGTCCTAGCCCACATGTTCTTCAAGCCTCACGCCGTACCGAGAGACTGACATCGCACGGTTGCTTCACAGAAACGGACTCTTGGAACGATCCTCAAAGTCTCCGTGAGGCCAATGAATCTTGGACTGGAAAAACTGTTTTTCAGAAAGCTTTGCACAAGAAAGACAAAATCCCCAGTTCTTTGATTCGACCTCTAGTCGAGCAACGAGAATGTTTGAATAGTCAGGGAGGTCAGTTTGTAGTGTACTATGATGAGCGCCTTACATCGTCACAGCAACCAACTCCGGTGACTTTGGCAGCATGGCGCAGCTACCGTTTGAAGAGAAAGGTAGTCAGTACACTAGGAGCCGAGAGCCAAGCTCTTGTGAATGGGGTAGGTGCCATCAATTGGCATAGGCTGCTCCTTTTGGAAGTTTTGAGTGGGATTTTGACTGACTCGTCTTGGGAGGAACACCTGAAGGCCCTCCCTTTTATAACTGTCACGGATAGCAAATCTTTATACGATGCCCTAAAGAAGGACGCATGCACATCAGCACAGTTCAGCGACAAACGAGTCGCTATCGATGTTGCTGTTCTTCGGGATGAATTTCGATCCCAAGGAGGGATTATCCGATGGATCGATACTCGAGCCATGCTTTCTGACAGTCTTACGAAGGATTGCGTACCGACATACCTCCGTCACATTATGTCGACGGGGCTCTGGTCAATTTTGGAAGAAGGAGTGGCGTTGCAGCGTAAGCTGATTGAACGTTCCAGAGATGACGACCAAAAGAAAGTTGGTTGTGTGTGATTTCGTTGAGCTTGGTCGTCATCCACGGAAGCCCAAAAGGGGCACACTTCGTTAACGACCTTCCACCGGATGGTGGCTCAAGCCTGAGGTGACGAAAACCGATCGTTCGCTGCCATGGTAGCACTTGCTTAGGCCCCTACCACCCTGTGTCTCACAATATATTACGGGTGATTGGGTGATTTGTCCCTATATGGGTCCATCCCCTGACCTCCGGGGAATATATGGTTGTTTGGAGGGTCCAGGGTCCAATCGAAGCTCTCGAAGCTATGGGGATTCCAGGGTGAGTGGTGCGTTTCATGGCGTTTCCACCACGAGCTGCGTGGCACCTGAAGGTGCCATTGCACTTGCATGATCGTTCCTCTGGAACGATCACGTTTTTGAAGCGACCGATAAGGGACAGCATGCTTTGGGTGCAGAGAAGACGACGTCTATAGCTTTGATGTTCCAATGTGATCATTTGTCAGTTGTATGGCACACATAACGCGGGGTGATCCCCACACATGACGGCCGTCTTCAGAATGTTAGGCTCGGCTCCGCCCCTCTGCGGGGGTTCAATACCGTGACACTCCAAACACATTAGCAAATGGAGCCGAGGTACCCTCCTTGTTGAAACGTTTGGACCAAAGAATCCTTGGCCTTCCGACAAAAAGACATGACCAGCCACCACTCTTCATCCAGCCTTCGGAACCCGTGAAGTCATCCACGCGTTCGGAAGAACCCTTCCGTCGCACCCTTCCGGGTTCGCTCCGAACCCTCTTTTTTCGGGGCTCGATGCAGGACTCAGCGGATGATCATGGGCTTCCTGGACATGCGTTGTGCCCGAAAGGACCGGAAAGTCAAGAGTGGGACGTGGGTTCCCCGCGTGGAACCCTGCGTGGGTTCCCTGCGGGTTCCACGTGGGGGGTGCTGGAACCAATTTCGTGACCGGAAGGGGGGGGGCGACATGTGCTGAACTGGGTGTGCCGAGTCACAGCACGCTGCACGCGAGCCAGAAGCACCTTCCCCCAGCCAGTCGAAGCTGAGCGGAATCCGTTTCGAGGGTGTTTTCTTTGTTTTTTGGGAATTGGTGGGCAAGACGATATCACGTCGTGATTTCCTTGCCCTCCCGGACTCCTCCCTCTTGCACCGATACAACGGGAGATAGAGACAGAAGCACTTGCTGGAAGGATGAACAGCGAAGTGCAAAGTCCCATTCTGAACGGATGTCGATGTTCCTCGTATACCTGAAGTTTCACGCGTTGCTCACATTGTAATACTTCTTAAGTACTATAGACTGTGTTTTTCAATAGTCAGACATTCTTTGTTCGTTGTCCTCGAAGGTATTGGTCAGGTGCTTTGCCCGGTGGCCTTGTTCCCAGCCCCGCAGGAGTTGCTGGGGCAAGTGGGCACAGTGGTCTCCTCCGAGTCGTCCTTCAATGAGATTCAGGCAGGTCCGCAGTTGCAAGTCGTGTGACTGTGTGACTGTGTGTGTGTGGTGTCTAGTGGGCGTGTTCTTTGGTTCCTGAACTCGTTGTCAAGGCGAGCCTCAGGGGACAAAGCAGGACATCATCATAGGTTTGCGTCGTGCCACAGATGCAGTGACCTGAGTCAATGGTGGCCAATCGAAATTTCATCTATACCCAGACACTCCATGTCTGTCATATATTCTTAGATTGACCTCTCAAATCACCCCAATGTAAGCATATATGGCATACAGTCTGGGATTCTGGTATATATCTTTTTCAGTGACCATGATGTTTTGATCATCTCAGTCAGCTCCCGATGTGAGAGGTCATGCATGTTTCACCCGACTCAACCTGGGCATCCCAGCTCCAGCTGGGCATCGAAATAAAGCCCTGCCAGGTACAATTTCCTCCAGAGCTGGTCGTGTGTCTTGCCTCGGAGACGGGTTGAGGATGGCGCAGTTGTGGGCCCTGAACGCAGGGGCGAGGGGCAACTCTCCTTGCGTGAGGAGGAGTTGAAGACTTTGTTTCAAGGCACCAGCAAGACAAAATCAGAGACCAGTCAGTCCCTACAAGTTGTGTTTGATTGAAAGCCATCTTGGAGCCTCTCCATATAAACCATGTAAACACCCACCACTCAAAGCCTTTCTTTGCTGAGGCCCATGCGATCTCAACAGCGACGAGGCTGGCAGGCAGGCCCTCCGACCTTGGACAGATTTGTCCCCGCTGATGGTGTCCAAAGGTCCCTGGCACCACTGGTTTTTGGTGCGATTCGGACTGGTTCGGTGCGTCGATCCCCGGCAACATCCGGCAAGTCTCTTTGCGGTTCCGCCTTTTTTGCCGTGTTGCCGGAACGCGACGGGTGCTTGGGATGTGCGTTGGTCGACAGCGTCGGGCTTGGGGAAAAGGTCTCTCGCGACCCTCCAGATGAAGGACCCCCGAGTTCCATCACGGGTATCATTTTTGTCCTCCAAGGAGGGGTTCCAGAATCTACCCTTCCAAGAATCTACCCGTTTCTGGAAAACCCGAGTTCAACCACCGCAGGTTCTGCAGAATAAGGTTCGATTCCACCTACAGGAATTGTCTGGCCGGAAACAGCATCCTTACCCTACAAGTCCAAAAACCCAGTACCACATGTTTCTGTCTTTTTACCGTATTGGTTTGTTATGACCAACTCCAGTATTTCATGAGGTCAAACTGACTTGTAGGGCTAGTAATTTTGGTAAGAAACATTAAGAAACCATGAGAACTTACTACATCTTATTACTACATACTACTACACTAGCCTAGAACTTATAAAAACATACTAAAAACCTCTAAGTTTAACCCTGTTTAGCTGGAAAAGAACCATAAAGAACATTCAGACGTCAAGTCGCAAGAACTACCTTCGTTCGATTCACCGGGTCTTCGCGGTTCCGCCGTGTCTGCCGCAGACACGACCTGTTTGGGACTGCCAGTCCGGACTGCCTTCAAAACGGCCAGACCCCTCTGGCACCACCACCCCTGGCCTGATCGGTAAATATGGCAGTCCCATATATGGAGTGCTAAGTCTGGGTACTGTGGATGTTTTTGGTTTGGGGGGGAGAAGAAATTACCGTTTTCGCCGTGGATCGAGGTGGAGAAAAATGGCGTTCTTTTCAAACCGGCTTCTTCGGAACATCCAATGGCTTAGGAGTCGGTGTGTCTTTTCGGTGTTGGGAGGCATGGGATCATGGTTGATCAGGCCCGGCAGATGCAGATGTTGGAAAAGCAGGGCATCGTGATGTTGCACCGTCAAGCGCTGGAGATTGAGGCAGAGAAGACGGGAGACGGGAGGGAGACCGGGGGCCCTGGGGACCTGGACTGCTGGTCCACTGGTTCTGGCTCTTCCACAAGCAGGCGCTGTAGGGTTCGTTTTTGAATGTGTGTGTCTCTCTCTCTCTCTCTCTGTTGAGGGCCACTATAGTTTCAGGTTGGCTTTTGCCAAGCCAGGCCAGTTGCTCACTTTTGGGGAGGTATAGGATATGAGGTGTATGCAAATGTATGCAACCTTATGTTTGACAATGTTTGACACAAAATTACCAAACGTGATTGGGGAAACTGAGGCAAACCCTGAAGTGCACTGGGAGTGTAAAAAACCACCAATGGCCTCAAACCAATCAGGATGTAGATGACAGGTATTCCCATGGCTCCAGCTGCAAGAGATTTCATATATGAGGAGTTTAGCAGTTTAGCCACAATGAATGGTTGTTCAGTTATTCCTGTATCTTCCCAGGCAGCTCTTCCCTTCATCTCGCCAGGCTGAGGTGGTCTCGGCTGCTCCGTGGGGAGACCCAACATTACATCTATATATTTGATGCGTGGTACAACCAGATGTCCCACAAGTGCGGAGTTTGAGGTCGGTTTGATTCAAAGCTCACAGTGCCTGATGTCATGTTGTTTTGATTCATGATCCACTCCACTTCCAATGTTTGGCACTCCAAGCTCCTGTGTGTGCATTAAAAATCATACACTTCTTGATCCACTCTTAATCCAACTTGTTACCATCCCAAGCATCGAAAGATGGCTTTCGGGGTCCCTGGTGGTTTTTCCCTCCAGTACGGACGAACGCTCGGACCTAAGGGCCCCCTTCGTAGCGAGGTTCGAGGTTCTTCACGTGAAAACGTGGAGCAGAGACGACACGCAACTGGAATCAATTGTTTTTTTCATGTCCAAACATTTGTGGAGAACTTATTTCAATGGGCATGTTTGTTTTTTTACATTGGACAAACGAGGCGTTCAAACCATGCTCAAAGGACGAAAAAGAGGAGAAAGGGACGCTGGCGAAACCATCCTCATCCAACTGAGGCGAAAGAAGAGCAAATGGTTGGAGGCCCTTGGAATCCAGCTTACCCGTGTGAGATCAGAATGGCAGAAAACGAGCCCACCTTCGAAATCGCGAGTCGCTCGAAATCCCTAAGCGATGGTCTGTCCAGGGATGCTCTAGTCTTGCACCCGGTCATATGGTGGAGCCGATTGAGCCGGGTTTGGGAGGGGGGGGATAGACCTTCATGGATTGGGTTTGTATTTATTGACCCATGAGAGTCGGTCGACAAGAGCATCACATAGATTCACATAGTATCACTATTGTATGAGAAAGGCAGTGACTAGCCTGCAACCAGGCCCCACCATCATCCACTGGGCCCTGGTAATAGGATATACCATGATATGCCCAAGTCATGGACATGACTTGGGGGTTGATTGCCTAACAAGCGAGCCATGCTCTCCAGCTCGACTTGTAGGTGATGCTGCCTATTTGATGGGTGCTCTATTGAAGAGTCTTTGGGACTTGAGTCAAGGATTTGTTAGTTGGAGGGCGGTAGACCTCCAAGGATTTTTAGAGGGGGGTAGACTCTGGGTAGACGTTTTTGAAACATCTTGGGAACCTGAAAAAAGCGTTCAATTGCCTCTCAAGAAAACCTAGAATTTTCCAGTCTCACCAGGTCTAAACCGCCTGTACAAGAGGTGAACCTCCTCATTCCATGACCACCTGGTATCCATCAAAATCAGATGCATCACAGAAATGGACCAGCAATGAAGAACCAGGCTGACAGGTTAGACATGTTAGTACTCCGTTTTTGAGCCTCGACCTACCCGGGAATTCCCTGTTTTCTACCCAGGACACCCAACTCCACCCAGCTCCTAACACCAAAAAAAGCGCCCAACTGTGATCCATCAGTCTCCTGATTCCGTGACTGTCAGGTTTGGGAGAAAGTGCCAGGAACTTAGCTTATCCGGTTCCGCGTCGGGCGCTGTAAAGAAACGGATTCGATGAGGCCCCTTTTTTGGGGGGGAACGGCTGGGTGAGGTTTGGACCGCCAGAATATATATTATATTGTATCTATATATATTTATATTATATACTATATGGATTACTTTTGAATACGTTGATTTGGATCATTTAGTATGTAAGATCTACCTGGTATTGCGGATCAGGTGCTTGGACGAACCATTACCGTTTCTTAAATAAAAAACAAGTCTGAGACTATCGGCAGCAAAACATTCACGGATTATGGCCAAAGATCATCAGCCTTTGCATGACTCTACTGGTGCTTTTGTGGGTTCAGTCTTTTCGTTGACCCCTTCTTCTGTTGGACCCAACAGCACATCCCACTCTCGGTTCAGTTGACCCCAAATGACCGTCAAAAATGAAGGTGGAATCCAAGTGTGTGCCTGTCTTCGAACATCTGAAGGTATAAAGGGCCTCTTCCACTGAACAAAGTGGTGTAGAGGTACAAAGGTGTCTTCGAAGATGAAAGTGGAGTGGATGTCCCACACTTTGACACTGCCAGTGTTCTTCGAACATGAAGCCGTCGTCCGCCACGAACACACTCTCGGAAAGCAGCGGTGCCTAGCGGTGGCCGCGTTTGAGCAGCGCTTGAGCAGACGACATTAAGGCCACCAGTGGAGAAGGATCGTCTCCATGAAGTGGTCGTGCGCATGGATTTGCAGCTGATGATTCCTGGATTGAAAGGAGCACTGTAGCTCATGTCTTTTAGATGAATCGTGAAGGCATGTCTTTTCAATACTGTTTCTGAAGAGAATCCTATGTTACAAAAGGTAGTTGCAAAAACTCCATGTATATAAAACATTATAAAACCACCACCCTATCATTCTTGGAATTGAAGATGGATTCAAGACTGGCGGTCCGATTTGTAGGCTTGTTGATTGACCTACACGACGTTATTGGTTAGTAACTAGTAAGAAGGATAATCCTTAAATGCATACTAGCAGGATAATCTTAACATCCCATAATCATCACCGTTCTAGTAGAGTTATTGATTAGCCTTCACCCGCTATGGTTGTGTACAATCTGAGCCGCCTTGCAGTTCTCCACAGAAAGGATCATGTGAGCAGAACCACTATTCTTGATGTCAACTCTCAGCCGGAGGATCCAGTCCTATCTGCTTGTTCCTTGGGAGTCGGGGGGTCGTTTTGGGGATTTCTGTCTCGCAGCGCATCCGTTTCCACCAAGGAATGCCCAGCCCGGCGACCCCAGGCAAGAACAGCTGTTGGGGGGGAGCGAGAAGATGTGGGAGGCATGCGAGGCATGTGGCGGAGAGTCAAAATGACAAACGGCTGAACAAAATAGTAAACTTCCAGCTTCCTCTCAAAGAAACGGAAAAAGAAACGATGGATTTCAACATCAAGGGGCTGATTCTGGGGCGTTAATGTCTCGTGGTGTGAGGCTTCCTTGTTCGATGTTCGAAAGTTCGTTCTTTGCCGGTTGATGTCATGGGCCTGCCTGCTGGCCTTCCTCCAGCTCATTGTTGCTTCGTCGGACGCCCAGAGATACCGATGGTGCAGCCAGCAACAAGATCATCGGATATGTTCAGAACTTGCATTCATGTTCACCGCTGTGGATTCATTGGTTGATTGATGGATTGGTTGATTGATTGATTGATTGATTGGTTGATTGACATCAATAGGTGGACATTTGTGGCATAGGTATCAAAAAAAATAAAAAGCGCATTTAAAAAAAAAAAACAGGATCAAACAAATAATAAAAAGCGAATCAAAAAAATATATTCCTGCGGGTCCTCTGGTAATGTGGTCCCTTGGTCCTTTGGTCCCTTGGTCCTCTGGTCCACTGGTCCTTTGGTCCCCTGGTCCCTTGGTCCTTTAGTCCACTGGTCCCCTAGTCCTCCGGTCTCCTGGTCCTCTGGTCCTGTGGTCCGCTGGTCCCCTGGTATCCTAGTCCTTCTGTCTCCTGGTCCGCTGGTCTTTTGCTCTCCTACGCCGCTCGTTTGTCGATCTCCTGGTCCCCTGCTTGTGCAAATAGAGGCTTGATTGCTTTCTACTAGAGGCAGCTCCCTGGGAAGAAAGTAGGTACTACTGCTACTGATACCACTACTACTACTACTACTACTACTCCTCCTGCTGCTGCTGCTGCTGCCGCTGCCGCTGCCGCTGCCGCTGCCGCTGCCGCTGCGGCTGCCGCTGCCGCTGCCGCTGCCGCTGCTGCTGCCGCTGCTGCTGCCGCGGCTGCGGCTGCTGCTGCTGCTGCTGCTGCTGCTGCCGCCGCGGCTGCTGCTGCTGCTGCTGCGGCGGCTGCTGCTGCTGCTGCGGCGGCGGCTGCTGCTGCTGCTGCTGCTCCTGCTCCTGCTCCTGCTCCTGCTCCTGCTCCTGCTACTGCTACTGCTACTGCTACTGCTACTGCTACGCTGGTGCTGCTGCTACGGCTGCTGCTACTGCTACTGCGACTGCTACTACTACTACCCCAACCATCCTCAGTGGGCTAGAATATTTTTTTTGATTACCTTTTTATTTTTTCATTGATCCCCGTTGAATATTTTTTTTGATTCTATTTTTGTTTTTATTTTGATCCCTTACCCCGTGTCAGCAAAGGAGAGGTCCAGTGAAATCCACTTGAAGACAGCATGTTGGAGGTGAACATAAAAATCATTGTTAATTTGTGCACGTTTGTGCTCCCATGTAGTCGCCATCGAAAGCACCTTGAAAGGCTCACTTTTCGCAGAGTTTTGGCTCGCAGTGTGTGAACATCGGCCCTGGACCATGGGGTCCAACATTTCTTGCTGCTGTGACTCACGCGCACCTGGTGATGAAATTAAGTTGCAACATGTGCAAACAGTCTCTGCTCTCACCAATGGCAATGGTTTCTTCATTCTACGTGGATTGACCGATGATAACGGACAGCCTGGAGCCTACCTTACCTTTGATTTTCAGGACCAAGCAGTGCTCAAAGAAATAGGGACGGAGCCGCTTCCGTTGGAAGTCATTACACAAGAAATGGATTTGCCTCCTATAAGGCAGACCGTGAACAAAAAGAAGGTGCTGGGAAGAGAAACATTCGAGAAGAGGTTCTTGCCAGTGCATTTTAGAAAAGACATGGCAGGAAGTTGGAGAGATGGCACAAAAAAGCTGCAAATCTGGGCAAACAAGGCAGCAACGTTAGAGGAAGATGGTGTAGTGCGCTATATGAACGAAGTTGTCAAAGTGCACAGGTCCAGAGCCCCCATGAAGGTGAGACTGCTTCCTGGTGAGACGTACTTTGAGTGCCACTTGCCACCTTTCCTGCGCTTCGAAATTCGTGACCAAGAGAACCAGCATCGATGGTTTGATGTTGGAGACGGCACGTGGAAAGCAAAACGACTTCCAGCATATCTCACAGCACCACTCATTGACTTTGTAGGGAAAATTCTTCAATGAAAGGGGTGTGAGTGTATTGCATCCTTTCCAGGGAAGTATTCCTATGGTTGGGGTGAGTGTGTGAATGCCAAGAGCGACCAGACTGCTCAGATGAGTGTTGCTTGCGTATTTTTCCCAGGTGACGACGGTGGTGGCAGGTGTGCCCAAGAGTGTCAGTGTCATCGCCTCTATGGTGACGGAGACGGAGATTTCCGAAAGTTTGGCTATGAGAACCCACAAGAGTATGAGGCGAGAGGACGGAAGCCCCGATGGGGCTGTGAATGGTTTGAACAATGGAAGAAAAATATTGAAGAAGCCGTCAAGAGAGGCCAAACACTCATTGTGTACTACTTTGCTGGTCAAGCAGGGATGGGTGAAATGAAGTGGCGAAATAGCATGGGTAAAATGGAAGAAACATTCCCCTTCCCCCATTCCCACCAGAAATTGTGGGATGGAGTGGGTTTGGGGGTATCACAGAAAGCGGAAGTAGCCTACTTGAAGAGCAAGGGCTACTCATTTGAAAAGAGAGATGTGATGGATTTTCTTGATCACCATGTACAGGATGTTGTCAGGGTCTCAAGTGTGGCATTTGACATGTTCAATGCGAATCACAAGAACCCAGTCCAATTATAGGCCATGCAATTGCATCCACCTGCCACTGACTGATGCAAAGGAGCACACACACACACACACATTTTTCAATATGTCTTGAAGCCCTGCTCGTCAAGAATCAATGTTGTGTTACTTTTGTTAATTTATGGTGGTGTGAATTTCAATGCGCATTATGTCATACTTTATAGCATATGCGATGAGGATTCAAGTGACAAGATAAAATTCCGTCATCCAGCCTGTTGTTGGCTTAGCTCGTCCTGTTTCAATTGAGCAGTCAGCTGGTGGGTAAGTGTTTAAGCCGCTATGGCATGGGTGTCGTTGCCCAGACCATTGTTTGTCTAAGAGTGAAAAAGGAAGAGATTGCCGCTGCTCCCCTTGCTTCACAACTTCTGCAGCCGACGATTGGACATGGTTCCTTTATGTTCCTTTATATAAGTGATTTGATCGGAGTGAGGTTTTCACAGACATATTGCTGGCATTGTCACCACTCGCACCGCTGGTGTCTTCCAAGGTCAAAAGCCACCATTGACATCAGGGAGGCTCTTGGTGGAAACCGAGACCAGCCAATCCCAGGGACAAAATCTTCAAGGTTTGACATTCTGGCACATACATTCATCATGGAGACGGGCCAGTGTTGTACATGGTTTGGCCAATCCTGCACTATCACCACGATTCTTTGGGATATTGGTGCCGCAATGTAGGGTCAGCAGCGGGCCACCAATGGCCATGTCAAGACGCCAATGGCCATGCGCATGCGAGCAAAACCACTGTTGCGTTGTTGTCATGTTCAAAGGTGACACATGCGGACATCATCGTGGCAGGCAGTTTTTAGTCCGGGCCATTACGGAGGGCAACCCCTTGACCATTTCGTGACTTGGCTGGCATTTTGCGAGTCAAAGCGGCTTCAGGTGTGCAAAAGGAGGGCAGTGTCAATTCATTCTTGGAGGATCGCAATATCCCATTGATGCCGGCCTAGACCAAACCCATGAAGTTGTGCACACGTTGTGAGCTCCGAGCGACATGGAGGTCTTGGGATTTGCCGAGCCAAGAGAAATATGATCCGGTTGATTGGTCGGATCTTATTTCTGGACATGTGTTGCCAAAACATGACCGGCGTACTGTTGCTAAGCAGCTTAGACGGGAGAAGGAGTGACCCGTCTACACAGAATCGAAGAGCGAGAACTTCTTTTGCGTCGGCACTTTCCTGGACCATACCCAAGACCTAAAAGCTTCTTCAGCTGTTCAACCTATCTTACAAACAAGAAGCTATTAGAAACAAGTGCATCGCTACTAGTAACAAGTGCCTTAGTAGTAGTAACAAGAAGCTATTAGAAACAAGTGCATCGCTACTAGTAACAAGTGCCTTACTGGTAGTAACAAGAAGCTATTAGAAACAAGTGCATCGCTACTAGTAACAAGTGCCTTACTAGTAGTAACAAGAAGCTATGTACTATCTTAAATTTGGGCAAGATCTTGGGCGTCGGGGATATGTTGGTGATGAGAGACGTGTGCACAGCCCGCCCAGGTGACGTTACAGCCCTTAAGGTTGTTGTTGTTGAGAAAGCTAGGGATTATATTCTACTGTATTTGAAGAGCTACCCCGCAATTTGTAGATTCTACGTAAAACGAGCACAATGTATATTTGAAGCGGTAAGGGCTAAGTCGAGCGCAATTTGACTTGCCAAATGAGCACGCCTTTCTTGATCCCTCTCTGTCTCTTTTTCAGTGCATCAGTGCTGTAGCCCTATATCATCGCTTTTTTTGATGCCGCCGTTGATGTGCAGGGCTGGGAACAGGAGCAAAGGAGTCACTTATAGTACCACAATTACTATGCTTCCTTTGTCAAACCGTACTTTTGGGAATTCATAGAAAACACATCGTACCCAACATGTTTATGTAAATTAAAGGTCTAGGCTTCGGTTTCTGTGCAGAAGATTCTAAAACCACGGCCGAAGTGTCAGCCCGCCCGCACGCACGCACGGGTCAGCACTGGCTACAGTTTTCCCGAAGAGGCTGCTTTTTGATGGATGTGTTCCGAATGTTCGCCACCTCTGGTGGGTTTTGTGACGTCTATGCAATCACGGCATTGCCTTGAACATGTCGCAATAGCTGGCAGAGAAGTTCTCACCCTCTCGATGTTATTCGTTTTACCTCGCAATCCTCGTATACTTATGCTCGTCTCATGAGTTTTGGCATTGGAACCAACCACCTCACGATCACGATTTTCTACTTGTCACCATGTCCGTCCCGCACGATTCGCTGTTTTTTTCACAGCGCCCACCCAGGACGGTCTACCCCCGGTTCTTGAGCGAGACGCGCCCGGAACGGGTGGCCGTGAAGGCGCCGAAGGCTTTGAGCAAACAAGAGGCCCAGAGTGGAGACGAGTGGAGACGGGAAGCGGAGACAGATGCAGATGGATGGGGTGGGGTGGCAGATGCGAGTTGTGTTGGGGTGGCAGAGGTGAGCTGAGGTGGATGGAGTCTTGTGAAGGATGTGGGCAGAGGTGGACGCATGACAGGGGCGGAGGATGGGAGGATGGGAGGATGTGACATGTTTTTGAGCTTGGAGCTTCGACCCTAAGGCTTAGGGAATGTCCAGGGGTGATTGGATGTCCAGCAACTGCAGTATATTCATCTCATGGAATTTGGTGCAGAGACTCACTTCTTCCAGAACACCATTTAACATGCGACCCCTGTGGCTTTGCTTCTTGGAAAAAGAGACCCCCAAACTCCCAAAATCTCCCAACACTTCGAAGCTTTTGGGAACTCGTAAAGGTTCCTCCCGTGTTTGGAGGAAAAAGGAGTCACTTCGAGTCTCCCACCCTGCAGACCATCAGCCAACGAGGCCAACGAGGCCTGGACGGACCTGGAAAAGGCCTTGTTCTTGCCGGACATCTTCGGTGTGCTGGGCTCAGGCACGGGGCCCCGATTCGAAGAGGAGCCAGCCGTTCGGCGGTGGTTTTTGACGTTCCTTTCTAGGTGTTGTGTGTGTGTTGTGTGTGAATTAGATGTGGAAGGAGTCACTTGGGATGAACTGACCTGTGCAAATTCGGGAGGAGCTTTGAGTTTGGAGCTTTGAGTGTTGGCATGTGATTGTGTCAAGCTGTGCGTATTGTTTTGAAGTTGGATGACGTTGGGACTTCTTTAGAGACAAACGCGGGCAGACCTTGAAGCAAAATGGGCCTCCATAAGCAAACTTCATGTCATTGCCTTTGAGTCACATGTGGTGAGCTTTTCTCTCGTGAGTCTCGCGTCTCATCCCGTGCGATAGGTGGTGATGAATCGCGGCTGTTGCCTTTGAAGCAGCTCCTCATCAGGCGAAAGACAGAGTGAAACAGAGTGAGAAGGAGTGCACACCGCTTCATGACAGGAGAGAAAATCCAGATTATGATTTGGAGCCGACGCCTCCTCTTTTGTTTGCAATGACTGAAAAGAAGAACACAATGTAGTGTAGAGTGTAGTGTAGAAAGTGGCAGACTTCATGGGAAGTGGACTTTAGCTACCTCAGCTACCTCAGCTTAACCGACGTGTTTTCATGTGTTGTTTTCTTGTGATTCTGCCGGCTGGACCCTCAGGGGACTGCAGCCAGATTTCAGCAGGAGACTCAGACGCTTCGTCTCGGAACCTGAACGAGATTGTGTCCTTGTGACCCAGCCCGTGTTGGAAGTGGTGTGAAAGGAGTGCCGACATTCTCCTGGAGCCTTTGTGTGAGCTCCATTTTGGAACCACCCAGGAGGTCATGTGTTTTTCCTATCCAAACAGAGGAGAGGTCATGTCTGGGCTGCATACTTCCGAACGATTTGCTCAACACGGCAACTTATGGCCTATTAGCCTATGGGTTTGAAATGGATAACAGCCCCCTGGCGCCCATGAACATGTGAGCGAAGCAGGCATATTCTTAGTGGACTCTCATTTGCATCCAAGCTTTGACTGTTTAAAACCGATGTTGTGGGATCCAGTTTTGCAGAATGAATCATTGTTGCTGAAGCTGGAAAAGGAGAACACGATCAGTTGCAAACACCTTTATCACATTTTTACTGTGGGCCGTGGATTAGGTGGATGTTTGGCATGTTGAGTTGGACACCAAATCAGAATACATTGCAAACCCAATACCTAAGAGTTCTTCACATGATCCTGTCACCAGCGTGACACGGTCACCCGCTTCACCCACATCGCGCATCTTATTGCGTCACGTCGCGTCGCGCGAAACCTGAGGCTTTCGTGGAAGGCCCTTGTTGCATCGCGCCTGCGAGTGGGAGCCCCAAAAGTATCGCTATTTACGGTATATGTTAAGAGGGAGACACCCAACCAATAGGGAGACACCCAACCAATGGGTAGACTGATCTATTTTCCTTCGACAAGGGGTCCTTTGATAGGTCCCTACTTTTTTGATACACTCCCATGTGTTGCCAGGTCTCTCGCCAGCAGACATGGACACAGGTCCTTTTCAGGGTCTCGTCTTGGAAGTCCAAGAAGGAACTTCTACTGGACCCACCTGTAGGTGATGGCCCCACAGCATGAAGATCACCCAGACACGACCCATGTTTGTCATTGAATGCCGATGAGTGGACCTCTCTGGCACCTACTCCGATCTAGCTAAATATGGCAGTCCCATAGGTCGTGTTTGGGTCATAGCAATCAAGAAAGATCCGAGTCAACCTTCACTGCTGGGATCTCACCTGGACCCACCAGTGACAGAAGAGGTGGCTCAAGGACGAAAATGGGGCACATCTACAGCCTTCCAGTTCACCATCTTCACCGCTTCGCCACCCTTGTTCCGTGTTCCTGTTCACCTCCCAGGTCTCGTCGCTTCTTCGAGTCGCTTCTTCACTTCGCCGGCGAACGCGCCTCGCCCAGGTCCGGGGACCTCGCCTTAGCCGAGCTCCTCTTCGCCTGCGGCGCTGATCTGTCCGAGCGCCAGTTCCGAGCGCGAGCGCGTGTGGTGGTGTGGAGCCTGTCCAGCTGGTTTTGGCTTTTGAGGATGGAAAGACTTATAGACTTATATTCACTAAGAACATGTCTTTTTCTGGTTTGCTTGGTTCATGCGGGGCGCATTTGGGGAGTTGGCATCATACAGTCTAATATCTACATGAAGGGTTAAAGATGTTCGCAGCACTTAGTGGCTGCTTTGGGCACGGGCACAGTGTGTTGGGCTGTATAGCGGGTGCATCCTCTAGTGACATTTTCTTGGCTGTCTAGACTCTCCCATTCAAAGGTCTTCACTATGGCCCCGCTTTTTTCTCCCATGACCAGGGCTTCATGGATGATGATGTTGCAAGCCTTTTATAACAGGAAGCTTCTGACCACTTTTGCTGACCGTTACTGGTGCTGGGACGCACCGTAGGCCCCTCAAAACATCTGAGCTGGTTTGGGCAGATGCTCGATGGGCCAAGCTGCAGAAGCTGCATCAGCTGCACACCAGCACCCAGCCGCCACATCGGCTGGTGTTGCCTTAGAGTGGTTTGGAATTTGCCCAAACTGGGTCAAGCCCCTTCGCTGCGATCCAAGTGAAACTTCTGAAATCGTCTTTTTTTGCTCTTCCAGGTGGTCGGCCGACTGGGAGGGTCTGTCTTCGTCGAAGAGCCTTCTTTCTCATGCGACCGAGGCATGCTCGAGGTGGAGACGAAGAGAGCCTACCCATCGAGGTGCTCGGTGGTCGGTGGTCGGGGTTGAGACAGGTCATTCACAAAACCCGTAAAGAAGCGAAGCTCAAGGCCGACACCTTCACGAAGTGACATGGGCCATTCGTGTTTCTTCTCATCATTTCTCCACATGACAGTCTTTGGCATGCAAGCGGCAGCTTTCCTGAGCTGCGGAAGTAGGGATCCTAAATAGCTATGAATTTCATCTCTTAAATGGAGCCTTTTCGATCCGAAATGACGTGGTTTTGCGTTTGGAACCTCACCCGGCACCCAGCTGTTGCGGGAGTCAGAGAGAGTCCGTTTAGGACCTATGTCGCTCATGCGCATGTTATAGCTGTTCAGGAAGCCTTCCGGAGCCGTTTGCCGTTTCAGCGACCATGGGAGTCTACAGTAGAGAACTGACCTCCGTCCCAGTTTCTCACCAGCAGGTGGCTGCCTGGTGTGGGCAGATGCAGCTTCTTCGTTTGCTACTCATGAATGGCTGGGATGCTCAGCATGGTGGGACAGGCCCCCAATTCATGGAACAGGTACACTTCTACCGAAAAGGTTCGGTTAGGAGTCGTATATGGAGTCGTTCAATGCCACTGGCAGATGTGTCATCTTGCAAAAACTATCCCAGACACTCCATGTATGGCATTCAAAATAACCCTATAAACTGGCTTCTGAAACCACCCCAATGTACTGGTAGGCTGATAACATGGGCAGTCTGGCTGTTTGGTATCGACGTTCGCTACCCTCCGTTCGCTACCCGGCTGGGTGCTGATCCACTGGCTGGTGCGATGAACTGGACGTGTCGACTGTGACACGTCGAGTTGTGACATGACACGTGAACATGATCCGATGGTAGAGGAAAGGAGCGACCTGCGAAGAGAGCTTTGCGGTGAGTGACCCCAGCAAAGTCGCATACGTTCAATTCATCAAGATTATAATCTCGTTCTTGGGAGTTGAGTCCTTCAAAAACATGAAGCTATCAGGCTGGAGTTGGTTCATGTGAGCAACGATCTTGTATATGTGATTGTTGAGTTGCTTTTTCCCCGCCCATTGAGCAACTAGAATCAACTAGACCATTTTAGCTCAGTGTTGTTGTTTAGAAGTGACTAGTGTTGACTCAGGTTTGACCCATGTAGACGATAGCAGGCGATATCATCAGATCGTTACAGACATGAAAACCACAAGACTCAGAGACCCCCAGGCACATGAGCAACAAGCAAAGAGCATCTCTGGGGGTCTCTGGTGGGGGTCTTTGCTTGTTGCCCATGTGCCTGGGAGTCTCTGAGCCTTGTGCTGTACGTTCTTTCCCCTGTGACTGCGTCGTCAGAAGACGCCGATGCCTCGATGGCTCGCTCGACGCCGAGGCTCGTGCTTTGGACAAGCGTTGCACATGGCGACTCTAGCTGGACACTTGGAGGCCCAGAAGACCACACCGAAGACATAGAAACAAAAAACAACAAAACAACTGGGCAGGGAGCGTTGGGCTGCATGCATCTCTTTTGAATGAAGCATATATCTAATTAATCTATCAAGAGCATGGCACCATGTCTCTTTTTTCTTTTTCGTGTGATTGGAACTGGTGCCGCAAGGCAGTGCAGCTGCTTTTGAATTACGGCTGCCCTCCCCATGTGCGAATTGCTGGAGTCTCGCCGCTGGATTTGGCGATCGCGGCTTGCCAGGCACCAACCCAGTCCGTGCACAGTGCGCGGAATTCTACTGGTAGAAGCACAGGTGGTGCAGGTCGCGGTTCATCAACCGTGCCTCATACATGGGCTGTGGGTCAAAACCAGGCTACCTGGGTTGACCGAAAATGAACGGAGACCACCGGAGAGGTCGACCTACCAGGGTGCACAGGGCGGGTGCGCACAGCCAGAGCTGTCAACGCCTTTGGGGAGAGCCGAGCCTAGGGCTGGCAACCGGGTACATGGGGGGTGGTCAATGCGACTTTGAGATGGTTTGAGTGCGTTTTTGTCGGTCCGAATGCATCCATCAAGACCACCCCTGTCGCAGGACCACATCAAGCTAAGCAACTTGCCTGGATTTCGATCAAAACCCTACTACTTTCATCAACAATCTGACTTCCTGTCATTACAAATCCCTGTGGTCAAAGTCGGCCAGCCACATGAGGGTAGTCAGGCGTGCATCAAGACGTTGTGTTCGATGGGTGGTCGCGTCGATGGATTCCTGAAAAAACAATGCTGTGTCCGTCCACTTTGCAAAGAAGGATCGCATGGTGTGTTGCTGCAAGAATCCTTACATATCTCTTACAGAGGCCCCACACTTCTGCTAGTGCTCACTTGGAAACTTGGACAGAAGCTAAAGAAGCGTACTGTACGTTGCTTCGCATGGGCGCGCGCGCGCGCGCATGTGCGCCCAGCGGTACGAAAGCATCACGGCGACAGGCTCCCATTGTGAATTTGCTCCTGCAGCAACCGATGCTTTTGGACACTGGTGGAGCAGAAGAAAGGCTGCATTCGCAGGCGGGTCACGTCCAGTTGTGGCCAACACCCAGAAGTTGCATCTGTTACTGGGATGGGATATACATGGATATACCGATATACCCTGAGATATATACATATATACCTAAGGTCTATACAACAATAAATTCTACCCCAAGTGCTCAAATTGGGAGGTCCCCCTTTAACTTGAGACATCTGTCCAGAACAGTCGCACCCTTCATCCCTTCCTTGGTCTCGACCACGTAGACGTCAACAGCCTGGAGCTTCACCGGTCGGGCGGGCACCGCAGCGTCCAGGGCATCGGCCGCTTCGGCCTCGCGCCGCGCAGTCGGCGCTTGCACCTCTGCTGCAAGCTGGGCGGCCCACGAGGTGCCGAACGATGATGTCCAAGGGCGACAAGGGCCATGGGGACAAGGTGACAAGGGGCTCAATCCCTGAGAATGGGCAAAAAGGGCAAAGGGGAGAAGCGATGGCCCCCCTTCCGAAAATTTCAGGTGTTTTCCAGGTCTTTTCCAATGTCTACCAGCGCGTGGCTACCCGGGGATTACACGTGGACTCCCGTCCTACGAAATCCCTTGTGACATTCTCAGAAGCCGGGCAGGGATCGGGTTTTCACCGAGAACCGCAAACCAGGTATGGCCAACCGGGAACCCGCCGGCTGAACCGGGTCAACCGCCGGCTCAACCGGCCAACTGGGAAACCGCCGGTTGAGCCGGCCAACCGGGAACCCGCCGGCTGAACCGGGTCAACTGGGTCAGTTGAGGCGGCCAAGGTTGAGCCGGCCAGCCAGAACCAAAACCCGGCCAACCGAGAAACCGTAGTAGTAGGTGCCCCTGTTGGGCCGGCCGACGAGGAGTAGGAGGAGTAGTGGTGGTAGTAGTAACAGTAGTAACAGTAGTAAGAGTAGTAGCAGTAACAGTAGTCGTAGTGGTGGTGGCGGTGGTTGTTGTTTGTTGTTTGTTGTTGTTGTTGGTTGTTGGTTAAGCCCCTTGTGAGACAAGGATGCCAAGGATCATCCTTACCCGGCCGCGTCCGTGACTCACGTACATGTGGCGGCTGCTGCTTGGCCTGGCGCTGACGGCGCTGGCGCTTGAGCCGCTGCTGACTGAGCTGCATTTTGGACCTGCCTGGTGGTTCTGCTGTCCTAGCAACATTGCTGCATCATCGAATCTGACAGCTTGCACCTTGATCCTTGTTCACTCCCCCGAGTACTCACAACCGCGGTCCCAATCCCGCGGACCAGGTGGTCCTGAGGACCCTTGCATCTTTTTGCATCTCGATCCTGGTAGGGGTGAGGGTTGGGTGAGGGCCATGACTCACCTGAGAGCAGAGGGCATTGATCAAAAAATTGTAGATCATAGTGACTCTGCGAAAATGCATGGCTTCGGGCCGGCTAGCTGGGGGGCCTTTAAAGGCTTACACCCCCGTTTGAAGCGCAGTTTTCGTCGTGCCAAAACTAGAGCTGTTCGCAATGGGTACTGTTGGTATCGTGGAAAACTTCTTGACCGCACGCAACTAAGAGTTTCTCCTGTGCCGGAGCCGCCTGTGACCCCTGTCCGAACCAGACCACCACGACCGTCTCAGCCTGATCTCAGGACACGCATTCATGCTTTTGCTTGGAACAGCACTGGCCTGGCATCTTGGAAGTTGGACGAGCTCAGATATTGGCTGGCTGACCAACCATTTCAGGTGGTGCTCCTCACTGAGACACGCTGGCAATATGATCGTGAATGGATTGAAAATGGCTGGATTCACATTGCATGCAGTGGTGATCCCTATCGATCATGTGGGATGCTCTTCATGATTCGTACTACGTTGTGCCAACAGAGTCAAATCAGTTGGAAGCCTGTCATCCCGGGTCGCCTGGTTCATGTTCGCCTTTATCTTGATAGGCCTCTGGACTTGATAGGATGCTATCAACATGTCTTCGTGAATAAATACTCAAGTAAGCAGAATAGACTTCTCTGGGTTCGTTCACTTGACAATCTTCTTCATGACCTTCCCAAGCGGAACAACTTGATTTTGGTTGGAGATTGGAACTGTGGCCTTCCCAAATCACCGCCGCATATTGGCACCTCTGACTTTTTGAGTTTGCTTGGCCGTCAATCGGTCTCGCTTCATGAGGATTGGAATAAGCATCTTGACCTTGCTCGAACGCATGACCTGTGTGCCATCAACACATGGCGCCATGACACAGGACCCACATGCCAAACGGCCAAGGGTGACTCCTCACGCATAGATTACATCTTTGTTCGCATGAGGCAGGCTGATCGTGAAGCACTTGAATGTATGCCACTGGAATCCTTTGATCTCCTAGGTCCGACTAAGATTGGGCATCGACCATTGATCGGCTCGATTCGTCTTGCATGGCGTCCCTCCTCTGGAGTGGCGCTCAACCGAGTGACCTATCAAAGCCGTGTGATGTGCCGCGCTGCACAACAGGACCCTGATCGATGGAACACCTTCTTGACGACTAGTACTTCCATCCTGACTGAGGCCAGATGGTTTGACATTCATGATGTTCAGCATGCACAAGATCGTCTCACAAACAATTTCCAACAGATGTTTCAAAAGCAACAACTGGTCACTGCACCATGGCCATTGTCCAAAGGGTTGATGGCCACCAAATGGGACCTCCTTGCTCGCCTCCGAACTCTATCTTGCCCAAGTCTTTCTAGTTGTTTTCAAGGTTGGCATCTCGTTACTGCACACCATAAGTGTCACCTTCAACAACAACAACAACAACAACAACAACAACAAGTGTCTCGACAGGCACGGAAGGATCGTTTCGATCACATGATTGCTGAGGCACGCCTTGCAGCATCACGCCATGATCTTTTTGCCCTGCATGCCATGGTTCGTAAACTTTCCCCCAAGGAAATCCTTCCCCGAATCAACATCAGAGGAAAACAAGGTGAGTTGTTAAGTCCTATTGAGGCCTTTGCACATTTGAAACATTTCGTTCAAACTGCGTGGGAAGGACCCATGCTTCGATCACCGACTGGACCGGCTCCAGGTGTTCCGTTCACTGAAGCTGACTTGACCCGGGCGTTTGCACGGTTGAATATCATGAAGAGCACGGCGCCAGGCACATGTCCCAATGTGTGCATCAAAGTCCTCTCCCATGAAACCGCTGCCCAGTTGTATCCCTTATTGGTTCACTGGTGGTCTTCTAGTCCTCCCGTCATTCCTCAACAATGGAAAGATGGATTTTGTTTCTTGTTGCCCAAGCCTGGTAAGACCCCTGACAATGCGGCCAACCTGCGCCCACTTGCGCTTCAAGACCCACTGGGGACCACGATCCTTGGCCTCCTGACCAACATTGCTAGAACTAGTGTGCTTGATAAACTTTGTGCCCAACATCAGTATGCTTATCTTCCTGACCGGGGTACCCATGAGGCCATTAGCAGGGCGGCTGCACTGTCAGCATGTCCGTGCCAATCTGACACGGATGCGTAGACCTCAGCCTCCGGTCCCTTCTATCCAGAGCACTGGTCTGTATGGTGGGCTGACGGTTAGCATTGACCTGAAAAGAGCTTTTGACAGCCTTCCCAGACCAGAACTCTTTGAGGACCTTCGAAGGTTAGGTGTTGACGAGCATTGTGTAACCCTCCTTCAGGAGTGGCACGTTGGTACTAGATATTGGCTTGAGCACAAAGGACATCAGGATAATATCAATGTTGCCTTAGGTGTCAGACAGGGATGCCGTGCAGCACCTTTCTTGTGGGCAAGCAGTATGTCTAGGCTTATGACTCGCCTTGCAGCATGTACCAGTCCTGAGTGGGTTCTCAAGGTCCTGACCCTATATGCGGATGATTTTCTTCTGCAGTGCGAAATTACTTGCGAACAAGATTTGTGGGATCATTTACATTTTCTTGGCATGCTTTTTGACATTTTGGATGATGCTGGACTTTCAGTGAACCTCACCAAGACTGTGGCCTTATTTCAAAGTGCTGGCAAGAAGTTCAAGAAACTTCAATCCCGCGTCCTTGTTGAGCAAGCACATAAATGGTTCTTGCTTGTGCCCCGCTCCAATGGGACTGCCTCAAAAATCAAGTTGGTGGCGGACCTCAAATATTTGGGATGCAGGCTGAGCTATGGGAACTTTGAAAAACTCACATTGGAGCATCGGGTTGCTGCTGGACTCCAGGCAAATAGACGCCTGCATCGACGGCTCTATGGTAAAAAAGGCCTCGACAAACAACAACGAAGGCAACTTTGGGAAAGTGTGGTCCGCACTACAATGCGTATGGTCTTTGGGCAACAGGTGTCACAACTGCTGGGCTCAAGAAGCTGGTGAGTTTGTTGATTACCATGCAACGGATGATCTACATGAACCATTCACATCGAACACGTGATTCGCATGCACAATTTTTTCAGCAGAACAACATTGAACATCCACTTCGTTTTCTGCACCGCTGCTGTTTGCGTATTCTGGCTGGTCATTCCGCCAAGCTTGGGCTACGACCTCAGACCGATGTCCTTCATACGCTCAAGCTCCAGGGCACTCAGTCCATGCTTGAACAAATTGAGCACCTGATTGCTGGAGGCCCTGATCAGACGGTGGCTCCTGCGGCCTTCGAGTGCCGGACTTGTGGAGTCATGTTTTCTAGCATTCAAGCCCTTCTCGTTCATGAAGATCGATTGCATGGCATGAAACATCCCAGAATCCAGGTATTTTCTGCTGTACGTGACGCGGACGAAGGGACCTCGATTTGCAGGCATTGTAATCACTCGTTTCCCACTTGGAACGCACTTCGAACTCACATTGAACATGCATCTTGTTCCCAATTTGATCCTTTGCAGGTCATGTCAACATCCTTGGCCAATGCGTGGTCTTCGTTGCTGCCGCAAATCCTTGAGATTGACCCTGCTGGTCTCAGCCTGAATCCCTGCATTGGGGACTACCTCAGGAGTCATTGCATTCTATGTGGAACTCAGTGTTTGCGGTTTCAGGACATGACGCATCATTTGGCATTGGAGCACTCCTCATTGGCCTCACAAGCTACTGGATTGTACCAACACTGGCATGGCTCTATGCTTTCACCATGTACTTTTTGCCATGTGGACTTCGCTCACACGCACCACTGCAAGGTACTCTTCCAGCTGATGGTCCTCCGGACGGAAAGCATGCTCAATGAAGGTGCCTCCACCTGTTCCAGGACAGCATCATCACTAGCTGGCACAGGGTCATCCCACAAGCGTAGCTCAATCGATGATCCTGCAGGGACTACAGCCCCAGATGTATGTATGAACACTTATCCTGTGGATGAGGGAACCGGGCAGAACATTGAGGTTGTTGAGAAGGAGATGTCCTACTCCCCAACTGCCATGGAACAGGAAGCTCCGGCCTCCTTGCATGAACAGGT